TGTCGGACAGGACGTCGTCATTTCCCTCGGGACATCCCGACTCCGGGAATCGCTGTTAATATCACTCCATGCCGTCGTCGTCGCTATCACCCGAGCTGTAGTTCTCGTAGTCACTCGGCTTCTCCCCATCCAGCAAAACATACACGTCCTATTTGCCTGATAACGGCGTAAGTGTCCGTCGTCGAGGTTGAGACGCAGCGGCTTCTTCTTCGTCTACATCACCCTCGCTCTCTAATCCAGAAGCCTCCGAAAGTAAATGCAGTTCAGCAGCGGCCTCGCGGGCACCGCATCTCCTGGGGATAGATTGAATGCTCTGCTCACTACAGTCTGCGACAGCTCGATGTCATCATCACTTGGGGTGCCGAACATTCGATCAACGGTATGCTGCGAAAAGGACACTCGTGTCGATCTGGGAAGGCCGAACGACGTCTTCCCCCTCGTGTTGTTGCTCTTCACCACTACTACCAGCTCCTGCTTGGTCTAGTTCCCCACCTATTTCATCTCGGACTTGAGCATCAGCATCCGCCTCTTCCAGCAAGCCACTGTCGAACGCGTAGTCCACGACTGATTTCTCCCCCACGAAGACGTGCGTGTTGTCAGGACTCGAGTAGCTCAGCTCAGTCTGGAGGCCACTTGGACGCTTGGACTTCCACCCCGCCGCCCGAAGCTGCCGCCATAAGTGGCCAAAGTCAATATCGTGTGTAGCGGCAGCCGGCGCGGCGGGCTTCTCGCGTCGACTATTCCGTATGCGCACCATCCAGCAAAATGTCGAATGAGTGGCTGTTCACGACGTGGCTGATCCCCTTCCCCTGGCCTGGTTTTGACTTGTAGCAAAATGACCTCTCGCAGATTATATTTTTGTGGTAACTTGATTAAAGTATTGAAAAAACTTTTCCGAGCCATTTGCTAATGACCTTCGTGCAATGTCGTAATATACGACGTAACAAAAATAATATGTCGTCTTATACGACGTTCGTAAGCAAGGTGTTAACAAGATGCAAGTGAAGTTACACAAAATGACCGCTGTAAAGCGCCGCAATGGCAGGTTTCATCCAATCATATATATTTGAACCCACCTAAAATCTTCTCCTTTTTGTTTGTGCGCATGTTTGACGTGTGATGGTTTTGGTGTTTTATTCGAAGCCGGTAGCGCAATAACGTTCGAGCCGATACCATTAACGTCGAAAAAAGAAGCTGTTGCTGGTGTTTGAGTCCGATGAATAGGCGAATTCCGCAGAGTGAGAACTGCGGGTGTGTGAATGAAAGCTGGTACTGGCTGGATCGGACATTGCGGCCGCAATAAGAGGAATAATTGGAGGCTGGCTGACCTCCAGTTGGCGATATATACTGTGGCCAGCAATTGCATGTTGTGATATCGTAGCGGTAATTCTCGATCTGTTATTATTTCTTCGTCGGGTAGATCTTGTTCTCACAGAAGTTTCTAGGTTAGAGCTGAATACGACGCTGTGCCGTCGTTGGTGTGATTACCTTCATCTCCATGTGTTCGATGGTGATTCTGTCGAAGACGCATTTTTTTAGCTTGTTTATTTCTGACTTCTATTGACGAACTTTCGCTTTGGGTGTGGCATTCCAGGACACGGAACACGCAGTATTTAGGGTGTATGCTGACTTAAACGGTAAAACCATATATTTGTTGTGAAATTTACTCTCGTCATCAGATTGTAAATCTGTAATATTCTGGGCGGGATCTGAAGAAGTAAATTCAGTTTTCTCCGCTAGAACGAAAGGGGTAATAATTTCTGCATCCAATTCAATGTCTAAAAAAGTATCGGAATTGTGATTTGTGTCACTGGATCCACTGTCAGTGATCTCCCACGTGGGATGCGCTTGATTCGCCATCTGAACCAGAAGTCGCTGCTCGACGGACGCTGTTAGGGCCCGTCCATACCGCTGGGACTACTTGAACAAGTCGCAAATTACCAACAGGAGGAATACTTTTACCATGTACAGCGTCAAATCGTTTCATTCGATAGTACGAAGCTTTCAAACATGCCGAAACATGGGCAGCAATATTGAAAGAAATGTTTTAGCGATAAAAGCCGTTCTTGATGTATCCAATCGATGCAGGAGCTCGATTGGGGTTACTCGATTAGAGTTGTTACCAAGCTTGAGGGTCTTGTGCTAATGCTCTAGTGGATTATTGGTGTCGGCGTATCCAGGAGGTGTGTGAAAAATATGTCATTTCGAAAACCATGAATACTTTGTACCCTGTGTCCCGTTAGAAACGGTTTCTATCCACTGTGAAATAAGAGACTAAGCACTATCTTGAAGCGAGGACAAAAGTCAAAGGCTAACTGCCAGGCAGCAAGAATTTGATTCTTCTTCTGTTGGTATTCTTCTTGAGAGGCACAAAAGTGTAGACGATTCAGGTCACGAAATGTCATTCCTCTTGTCCCTGCCGAGTTTTCTCCCTTACATGTTGGGATACATGAAACCAACACATCAGTATCGTAGCGGACGGTAGCTCTCGTGAACAAGCGCTGTACTGCGTGTTGGAAGTGCAAGATGTGCACGTACATCGACTCCAGAGTAGCATCCTATGTTACGGCACATGGAAGGTTCTAGAAGGATCTAGGCATAGTGATAGGCCTTAGCTAGCGGATGGTTGGTTAGTTCTCACTTCGAGATTGGTAAAGCCACTGACGAGGCCCCGGCGGGGGCCGAAACGCGTCTGGCACGCGTTCAATCCAAGTCATTCAGATCTACTCGATTCTACATTTCCTATAGGTTATGAGCCCAAACGGCTTGGTATGGGCACTGCGGTGTACGCGGAATACGCGCTGGAGGAGATCACGCTCAAGTCGTCGTGGAAGCAACGGGCTCCGACGACAGGGGGAGCGGAACATACAAGTGCGCGGTGGACACGCAGTCGCTCTTTGCGTTCGGGAAAAGGACGGCCGAGTTCTGCACAAGGAGGTGGTTTCGAGTGGTGTGAGTGGTGGATCGAAAGAGGTCGATCGAGAAGGGGAACAACAACAAGCTCAAGCAAGGCTCAAGGACGGCTACAAGGTGTCAAGGGACGACGTGGTGGTGAACATGAGGGAGCCGGGAAACCTAGCGATCGCGGCAGCAACGGTTACGCTGGCCAGCGCGCAGGTGGTAAACCCTACAAGAATGTATGCAGTGAAGAGGCTGCAGCTGTGCGGAGAGCAGCCGATGGCTGTACACTCGTGACCAAGACGGCTACGACTCATGTCGTCGAGGGGGAGTGTTGGAAGTGCAAGATGTGCACGTACATCGACTCCAGAGTAGTATCCTATGTTACGGCACATGGAAGGTTCTAGAAGGATCTAGGCATAGTGATAGGTCTTAGCTAGCGGATGGTTGGTTAGTTCTCACTTCGAGATTGGTAAAGCCACTGACGAGGCCCCGGCGGGGGCCGAAACGCGTCTGGCACGCGTTCAATCCAAGTCATTCAGATCTACTCGATTCTACATTTCCTACACTGCGCGTCGGCAGCGTCAGTCATGACGTAGCTCGGCTCAAATGTAGATGCGTAGCGCTCTCTCAAAACCCTTTTAAGAGGCTATCAC